CCTTCTACATTCAGACCATTTCTATGGTTTCTCCCCTGTGTGGATTCTTTTATGAGAAGTTAGGTGACTTTTCAACCTGAAGCTGTTCCCACACTCTGTGCACTATTATAGTTTGTTGTCTGCAGAGACAGACTCTCCTCTGGGGAGGGGAGGGGAGGGGTGGCACTGCCCGGCTGGCCCCTGGGTCTGAGGCCCCAGAGCGAGAGAGTCCCTGACAAGGTGCGCCCTGCCTTGAGAGCCGCTTCGCTTATTTGTTTATGCATCGTATTTATATAGCCACACCAAGCGGCTCTGGGCGGCTATTTATTTATTTTTACACAGATACCGGTTTCTGCCGTAGTTGACCTGGGCTTTCTCCCTCCGCCGAGGTGACGGGAGGAGCTTTTTTCCCTGCATGTTTCACCCCCTGCCCACAGCTTCCACAGGCACCCCTTCAATGGCCGGCTCCCTTAAAGTGAGGGGAACGCCAGGGAGGAATAAAGAAGGCGCTGTTAGAATATTCAGGGAAAGTAACATTTCAGAACGGAAGGCGTAGAGACACCATTTGAGCAAGGTGGGAGGATCACGTAGACGTGGGCAGAGGTGAGATAAAGAAGCAAGTCTGCAGCTGAAAGTCCTGAACAAGTATGCGCCTACTGCGATGCACATGCTAAAAAGAAACAGCAAAATATATAGGGGGTATGTGGCAGTGGCCCTGCGCCCAACCTTGCTCACTTGCTCTGTTTGGGCTCTTTTAATAAAGAAAAACTTGATTCTCCACAAGTGTCTTCCGGCATCTTCTTCCTGGCCTGGAACTGAACACAGGAAAGGATTATTTTCCTTCCAACAAAACGGGCTAGGCAGCCGTGCCACTGGGCAGTCCTCTCCCAAGGTGCCAGAAGAAATCTTTGGGACCGTCGCAAACTCCAGTTCAGGAGGACGACCAGCGAGTTCTTTCCTTAGGCAAAGTAACTTACACTCCTCCCCCACAAATTACAATATATTTAATGAATGTAACCTAATTAAATGTAAATGATGCACGTAAATGATAAATGTAAATTAAATGTAAATGATACAATCTGGGGCTGTTTTTTCCAGACCCCTGAAAATCATGCAAAGAATAATTCTCTTGGCTGTCACACATCTCACCTGATGTCGCTTCTCCCCAGATTGGTTCATTCGTGCAAAGAGAGATGATCTTCCCACCAAGCCACCTTCCACATCCCACTGTTCCTCCCCATCCTTCTGTGCCTTCTTTTACATGAAGCCAGGTATAGTAATTACAAACATTCAACGCCTCTCTAATTTCCCTAAATTTATGTGGGGTTTCAACTAGTATTCTTGAAACTTTCCTCATACTTCATATCTGTTTTCTCCATTTGAGTTATTTTATGCTAAGATTTCAATGTTTCCTCACTTTGGAGATTCTGTTTGTAAAGCTCTGACAGTTCACTCATGTAGTTTTTCCTACGTGATTCCTTTTGTGGAAAGAAAGGGAACCCCTGCTATTAAACCTCTTTTTACCCTTTTTCATTTACTACTATTTTTACTGCATTTTGCATAATACTGTTTCCAGAGTCTGCAGATGTACTTCATTTTTCCACTATGTAAATCTTTTTGAGAAGGAAGGCTATTGCTTATACTTTATCCTTTCTATACCACATGTATTTACCATTGGTTTAATATTTCTTATTTTCTGCACTCTGCGTAACATTGCAGTGGAGTTCCCAATTAGGTGAGATGTATATTTTACTTCTGATTGCCATTTTGTTACATTAGTTGTTTTTTAACGGTGTTTTCTTTTGCATTTGCTGCTGGATGATTTTTGTATGCTGCCCAGAGCCATGTTGGCCATATAAATGCTTTAAATAAATAAATTAGCTATAAACTTTTCTTTTGACAGCATCTGGGAGGGCAATGGGGTCCGTCAATAAGCAGCATTGTAGTGCAGGTTCCCTTTTTTCTGTGTGTTTCAATGTTGCGCGTGCACACACACACAAATCCAAATGGGGTAGAATTTGCATCACAACACAGGGAGGCCAAATGCAGCAAGATCCAATAGATGCCAGTATTTTCCTCAGTAAATTAATTCTCTCTGGTTTCTTATCAAGGTTAAGCTGTATGTTGTCAGAATTGAGAAAATGAACGTTTTTTTAAATTAACCTGCTAGTAGCAGCCAGACTGACAGCCAAATTTTGAAATCTCTCTTTATTATGATATATAGTATCTTTGCAAAAATTCCCCCAAGTCCTGCCACGTTGCCTCCTTGTTGCGGTGGGTTACTCTTGGAGTGGATGAGCAGGGAATGGCAGAAGCATGTCAAAAATATATTCTCCTTAAAGCATGAAGGTCATCCCAGCTGCTAGCTAAAGCAAGCAGGGTGCTTATATTGGGCAACGGCAATACAGGAAGATGCTGGAGATGGAAGATCACTTTAATGACAATGGCAAAGGTTCCATTCATTCTGGGCATGAAAAGGCAAGGGTAAACCATTCCTGTATTTCTATCAAGAAATCCACATGGATAGACAGTATACGGTGATGGGTGACGTAGTGGCAGAGGAGGGCCCCTCTCGTCAGATGGCACTCAGCATGCTAGTGTGGAAATGCTGAAGGTCATTCAGAGTAGTAATGCAATTTATGATGTGGCTAAATTAGAGCCTGCACAACATCTAGTTGTGGATGTTGCCATATAGGAAAAGAAAGTCTGACACTGCAAAGACAAAATTACAGTGGAAACATGGAACATAATAAACATGAACTTGGGAAAGCTCAACATAGTGAAAAATGAAATGAATCAACTGCACATTGACATCTTAGGCATCAGCAAATCAAAATTGGACAGATTACCACTCATGACATGAAAAACAGCAGAGTTGGTTTTATAGTTAGGAAAGGTACAGCAAGAACAATACTTGGCTACAATGCAATCAATGACTGAATAACATCAGTAAGATTTTGCAGACAACCCTTTAATATGACGGCTATCCAAGTTTCTGCATCAACCACTAATGCAGAAGAAAAAGAGGGTGACGAGTTTTATGGTGAGGTGCAATCTGAAATTTGACAGAACATGTGCTGCTTCTGGTTAGAGACTGGAATGCCAAAGCTGGAAATACAGGTAGTCCTCGTTTAATGTCCACTTGTTCAGCAACCATTCAAAGTTACAACGGCACTGAACAAAAGGTATTTAATGACCAATCCTCATGGTTGAAGCCGTCACAGCATCCCCACGATCATATGATTGTGACTCAGGTGCTTGGCAACCGGCTGGCAATTACAATGATCTCATTGTCCTGTGGTCAAGTCATCACCATTTGCAACTTTCACTGCTGGCTTCAAACAAGCAAAGTCAATGGCAAAGCTGGCAAGAGGTCACAAATGGTGATCACGTGACTGCGGGATGCTGTGACTGTGCAGGATTTGCCTAATGATGGCAACTGGGACCACCAGAACTGCCGCTGTAAGTCGGCACGGTCATGTGACATCACACCTTATGACTGTGTCACTTAGAACAGAGTTCCCAGTCTCAATTACCACTGGTAAACAAAAACTACTTGTACACAGAAATTAAACTGACTACATTATTGCTACAAAAGGTAGAAGAGCTCAGTTATAACGGCGAAGACAGTGCCAGGGGCTGACTGGGGAACAGACCATGAACTGCCCATTTGAGAACTGGTAAAACACAAAAGCAATATTATGACATCTGTAAAAACACTGAAGGTAGAAAGAGACAAGGAAAAACAATGCAGGCCTTTCAAAACTTCTATGAATCACTGAATTGCACTTCTAAAACATATTTGTGCCTCTGTTTCCTTGTTAGGTATTGGCTAGGTTCTGTTCATCGGAAAGGATGATTTATTCCTGTGATTATTCATAACCATTATTATTTACACTTCCACATTATGCTATTCAGTAAGATACAGAAGGTGTACGTGAGAGCACTAGCCATAGCTGAACCATTGCCACAATCAGCCTTCCCTGCTGAGGTTAAGGACTTCTCAGCCCCACTAGGTAGACCAGACTCAACTCCACAGGAAGGCTAAAATTACTTTTAATGAGAGTGGCTATAACAACACAATCTTGCCAGCCTGATTGTGCTGTACCTCCTCCCCTTCTTATACTCATGTGAATTAGGGAGTGTCTGTCTGAACCTCTCCTGCATATTTGCTGCTTGTTGTGGACTTAATATGCATTTTCCCCCTTGTTGCTTTGGTAATGGATCTTGCCTACCTCTGTCAAAGTCGTCTTCCTCACTCTCTACATCACCTTACCGACAAGGTGTACTTTACCGGCTAATTTTAGCCAATCTGTCACACGTGCAACCAAAACCCAGTTTTACTTCAAGCATGCTCACACTATTTCATGCAAATAAAATTACATAGTGTCGCCCACATATCACCAGTTTGAAGGTACATGCAGTGCACTGATACATAGTGGCGTAAGAGACACGCACAAAAGCAGCACACTGAGGTAGTGCAGTGATACAGAAGCAAAGAATGAGGATCAGATTGACAAGAAATAGATAAAGAAGAATGACTGTATGAATCTTTCCTCAATAAATTAATTGTTTGTGGCCATTCCTATCAAGCCTTAAGTATGGCTTAAGAGAGTCAGGAGTCAGAAAATGTGAAAGACAAGTACGTGTGGTCTGAACCAAGGAAGTCTAGGCTTTTTGTGGATTAGCACCTGAGTGGACCTTTGCGTGGGAAGTTAGCTGACTGCTCCTCCGGAAGCTCTTCCCACACTCTGTGCATTTATATGGTTTCTCCCCTGTGTGGATCCTTTTATGGGAAGTAAGATAATTGCTCCACCTGAAGCTCTTTCCACACTCTGTGCATGTATATGGCTTCTCCCCTGTGTGGATTCTTTTATGGCAAGTAAGTTTACTGCTTTCTTTGAAACTTTTTCCACACTCCCAGCATTTATATGGCTTCTCCCCAGTGTGAATACTTTTATGGGAAGTAAGGTAATCACTCCTGCTGAAACACTTCCCACACTCCATACATTTATATGGTTTCTCCCCTGTATGGAGCCTTTTATGAGAATTAAGATTACTTCTTGTGCTGAAGCACTTTCCGCAATCCAGACATTTATACTCATTCTCCTCTGAATGGATCTTTCTGTGGGAAGCTAGTTGATGGCTCCAGCCAAAACTCTTCCCACATTCCATACATTTATATAGTTTTTCCCCTCTATGGCTCATTTTATGACTATTAAGTACCCTATTTTCACGGAAGCTCTTCCCACATTCTGTGCATTTATATGGCTTCTCCCCCGTGTGGATACTTTTATGGGAAGTAAGGTGATAGCTCCACCTGAAGCTCTTCCCACATTCCACACACGTATATGGTTTCTCTCCTGTGTGGACCCTTCTATGGGAAATAAGGTTAGCACTCCTGTTGAAACTCTTTCCGCATTCCATACATTTATAGGGTTTCTCCCCCGTGTGGATCATTTTATGTGAACTAAGTTGATTTCTCCACCTAAAGTTCTTTCCACACTCACCACATTTATATGGTTTCTCCTCTGAATGGACCCTTTTATGAGATGTAAGCTGTTGACTCCAACGGAAGCTCTTTCCACACTCACCACATTTGTATGGTTTCTCCTCTGAATGGACCCTTTTATGAGATGTAAGCTGTTGACTCCATCGGAAGCATTTTTCACATTCCATGCATTTAAAAGGTTTTTCTCCTGTGTGGATCCTTCTATGGGATATAAGTTGATTGCTGCACATGAAACTGTTCCCACAATCCATGCATTTATATGGTTTTCCCCCTCTGTGGATGCTTTTATGAAGATTAAGGGGACTATTTTCACAGAAGCTCTTTCCACATTCCATGCATTTATATGGTTTATCCTTAGAATGGATTCTTTTATGGGAAGTTAGCTGATGGCTCCACCTGAAGCTTATTCCACACTCAATGCATTGATATGGTTTCTCCCCTGTATGGATCCTTTTATGTCTAGTAAGGGACCAATTTTCACGGAAGCTCTTTCCACAGTCAGTACATTTATATGGCTCCTCGCCCGTGTGAGTTCTTTTATGGGATGTAAGTTGAGTACTCCGCATGAAGCTCTTCCCACAGTCTGTACATTTATATGGTTTCTCTCCTGTGTGGAGCCTTTTATGGGAACTAAGGTAGCAGCTCCACCTGAAGCTTTTCCCACAGTCCATACATTTGTATGGCTTCTCCCCTCTGTGGATCCTTTTATGGAAAACAAGTTCACTGTTTCCCTTAAAGGTCTTCCCACACTCGATGCATTTATATGGTTTCTCTCCTGTGTGGAGCCTCTTATGGGAACTGAGCTGAATATTGCACGTGAAGCTCTTCCCACATTCCATGCATTTATATGATTTTTCCCCCATATGGTTCCTTTTATGGGAGGTAAGTTCACCACTTGTCCTGAAGCTCTTCTCACACTCGATGCATTTATATGGTTTCTCCCCTGTGTGGATCCTTTTATGCAAAATAAGTTCACTGCTTGTCCTGAAGGTCTTCCTACATTCCATGCATTTATATGGCTTCTCCCCTGTGTGGATCCTTTTATGGGAAGTAAGATCACTGCTCCACCTGAAGTTCTTCCCACATTCCACACATTTATATGGTTTTTCTCCTGTGTGGATCCTTTTATGATAATTTAGGTCACACTTCCGGTTAAAGTTCTTTCCACAATCAAAACATTTATATGTTTTTTCTTCCATGTTTATTTTTTCATGTAAAGAAATGGTGAGTATCTGATTGCAATTTTTTTTGTCCTCCTTGCATTGATCTTCCCCTTTAGCACAGGTTCTATAATTTTTGTTTAAATACAATTTGTCTTTGAATATTTTCACACTTTTCCCTAAATACTTTCTCTTTTGTTTTCCATTGTGACTTTCTTGGGCAAGAACGTTGGCTTGAATAAGTGCAGAATCAGAAGTTGTGCTTTTCTTCCTCCCGTTTGCTGATTGGATTTTCTCCTGTCTTTTTGCTTCTGCAAAATCCTCTTTTCTCTCTTCATTCCTGATCTTCTGGAATGGTTCCCTGTAATTCTCATTCTCCTGCCCCTTAGCTCCTTGAGATAAAAAGAAAGAGTGAAAGTTATAGCAAAACTAAGTTAAAAATTGAGTATGGGAATGTAGAAATTGACTCTCCGGTATTTTCAAAGTCTGTTCTCCTGACCAACATAAAACAATCTCTAAGATTTACTTTGGGATTCTGATGAAAGAGGTTCTGATCTAATTCTTTGTGTGGAATGATCACCCTTAGTGTATCTGAGGAATGCTGGCCTACTGCATTATTCTAAGTGACTTCGACTCTTTTAGGGAAAGAGGAACTGGAAGAACAAATTAGTGTCATTTGGCCAACCATTTTGTGGACATAATCACTTGCGTGGGCTCCAAACTGGAAGCTAGATGGATGGAATCTACTGAAATGATAAGATGCTGCCTGGGAGGTTTTGAGCTTGAGGATATCAAGGAAGCAGCACATTTCTCTGTGCCTTATCCTTGACACGTGTTGTGCTCCTGCACAGCTGCTTGGTGAAAGCAGCCAGAGAAAGGTTTAGGAGTAGTATTCAGGCTAGACAGTGGGATTTTGAGGGAAGGTTTGATTCAGGTAGGTGACCTGGGTGGGCCTGGTTCCAACAGAAATGAACAACATTCATCCTATTTCCAACTACCCCTTCTTGGGGAAGGATGTGGAGAAAGAGGTAGGGCTACAGCCACTCTGGAGGACCTTAGTTATCTAGACCCCTGGCAATCTGGATTTAAGCCCAGGCATGAAATAGAAACTGCACTGGTTGCTCTCACAGATGCACGAAGGACAGTGATTTATGTCCTTGCCATCTCTCATTCAGATCACTCTACATGGGGCTTCCCTTGAAGGCCACCCTAAAATTTTAGCTTGTCCAAAATGTAGTGACCTACGTGCTTACTGGTCAGTCTTGATACTACCATGCTACTCTGTTGCTGTGGGATCTGCACTATGTAACAGTATATTTCCAAGTGAAATCAAGATGTTGGTCACTGTCCCATAGATGTTAATGGCTTAGGGCTTAGGCCTTTCACTTGTTTACACAGAGAACAGCCCCTCCCCGCCAATTTCACCCAGAAGACGATGATGCATCAATCAGTAGCCTGCCTAAGAAAACACCAATGCTTCGTAGGACAAACGAGGAGGCAGCTGGTTCAAGACAAATGGAGATCAGGTGGTAAGAAGGTCAGACTAATTTCATTTATCGTCCAAAGCCAAGCAGATAGTCTGTGGTTGGTGAGACCGAAGAATTCACTATGGAGAATCCTCTCAAATATTAGATGAGGAATAGTTACATGAAATATCTAAGCAGACTACTATTGACCTCCTTTCTTCTTTGGTGCAGAAGAAGGAATCTGGCTAGGTAATGTTTTATGTGGAAAAGGTGGTCACGACTGGCCACCAGATGCCTCCTCTAAGTATCTGAATGAAGAGCGGAGACCATACCCAGAGAAGCCACATTCCTAGAATTTTCCAGCATGACTTCCCCATGCAGGGCTTTCTGGTCAGGATTCAGTTGTGACCACTCCTCCTCAGAGAAATACACGGCCACCTCCTCAAAGGACACAGGACTCTGAAAACGGAAAACAGAAAGGTCCAGGAAGGAATTGAAGGATTCTCTTCCTTAGTTCACAAAAAGGGCTTTGGAGACACCAGTGGCTGAAGGCCTTCTTCACAGCTGCAGAATGAAGTGTCTGACATTTTACTCAATGGATCATTGGGTCCCCCCAGGAAGAATCCTGTCCATGCTCAAAACTTTCTTGAAAGTGCTGAGAGAGCGTATCTAGGGATCTGTGTGGAACACCATGAGACACAGCCCTATTTCGGTTCCTAACTAGATTCCAAGGAAGCCGGATGGGAACTAATGAAGTTGGGTTGGGGAGAAAATTATGCTGACGTTGCGGGTAGCACTGGTTGGTATTCAAATCCAATCAGAAACCAGATGCTTAGAAGTTGCTATGAAATTCCCACGTGGTTGGATTATAAGATCTTGGGATACACTTTTCTGGAGAATTTTCTATATGGCATTTTCATTAGATATTTTTTAAAAAGATAGTAGAAAAATCTATTCTACTTGCCATATTACCTGCCATTTTATAGATTTTTATAGAACTCTACTTTTTTTTCTATTCACTAATTTGAAATGAAGCTTTTCCGATCTCTAATTAGCAAATTTGATCATTTAACTGCTTCTGAGCAGTGCAGCACATTGTAAATGCATTTGGATGAATGAAATTAAAAACCTCCAAAGGAATTTTTAAAAAGGCTGACTCCTCGTAACTGTTAACTATAGCTGCCATGTTTTTCCGGGCTCTTCATATTTATTTATTTCATGTTGTTGGAGCCCCAAGGAGGGCCCATGTAACACCTCTGCTCCGCAAGCTGCATTAGGTGCCAGTTTGCTTCCGGGTCCAATTCAAGGTGTTGGTTATCA